ACAAGACGACTCTTTTCCTAGAGAATAGATCAAAACCATTCGGTATAAAATCTCCAAAGCCACACCGCATAAATTCAATAGTCGAATGGAAAATTCCCCCATCCAAATTGCCCCCACTTTGCAGTGTCAACAATTTTCCGTATCTATTAATTTAATATCTCGTTTTCCGCCTGTCTTTTGTCAACCCTCTCGCCCCGAAAACGGCCAGGTACGACGACTCGGAAAATGTGTCGATCTGTTGAACAAACCGAACCATACCACGAACGAAAGCAAACATGTTCCATCGATTGGTGCCATCTCCCTCTTCCTATCATGTCACTCTGCCTACACTTCACTCCGAATCGCATAAATCCCACTCACTAGCAGCAGCAGTTAATGCTCGTCGACCTAGTTTTCCTCCCACATACCACCATAGATCGTTTGCCGTAGTAAGAAGAAACACAGCTCCGAGTGCCGGGACGTTATCTCTATTTGCACAACTGATTGCCCGGTTCACATTTTCACCATTGCAGCCGCTCTGCTCTCAACCTAGTGGTAGTCACTCGTCAGAGGGAACACTACTGCGCTGTTGGCCCGGTCGGATCAACAAGATGGAATTGAATTTCTCACACATCGTGCCAGTTGAGAGATTTCCGAAGTTCAATTTAATTCCGGTCTTTACCAGGTGGCTGCTTGATCCATCTGGAAATTGCAAACACCATTGGCTTACAACGAGTCCTTTAGTAGGATACTTATACCCGATAGCTTTCCATTGTCTGCAAGTAGGAGTCTCTGAAGGGTGGTGTGGTGAAATTGAATTAAACCATCAAAAGGGCAAGCGTTGGGAATGTCGATTGAAAATTCTAATGTGTTTCATTATGCATCATAAAAACAAGTAAATGTTCATCAAAAGCACTATGAATGAATGATTATCCACTTTTTTTTAAATTAAAGAAAATAAATGAAAAAATATTCAGGTTGGTCAAACCACCACCAATGTCAAAACTATCCTTCCAATGCCAAAAAATTAATACAGCATGAACTCGCCACAATTAAACAACTTTTGGCAGACCCATCCCCAACGACCCATATTCCTCATCTGCCGACTGTGACTGTAGCGATGAAAGCACTTCCAACTCTCACCAAATGGATAACACCATCTTCGGCAGATCTTCTCCGATGCACTCACCCCTAATGGCATGGAAATTTCGCATCCAGCCGACTTACAGCAAATGTTAATACAATCATGACGGTAACGTTTATTACGGCGATGACTATGCGGCTTCCGTGATTCTATTGTCCTTTAGAGCATGGCACATTTCGACCACACTGACACAGTTCTCAGTTGATGAGCAGGAGTTGAGGAAAAGAAATAACCAAAGCTGCTTTATCCTGGCTCTGATGTTCAATTAGAACATTCTTCCTTTATAGACGTCGTCATCGCCGTCGGTGTCATCGTCTTGGCTATTCAATGGAGTGGAGGAACTTCTGCGGAAGGGGAACCGAACATGCGGAAAGCTAATTCAACCAGAAGCTTGTCGGTCTGTGTTTACTTCGCTAATTATGCCTGTTTTTGCCACTTACTTGGACGTCATTCATTATTGCGGCTTTTCACTTAAGGGACCCGTAAAACACTGCCTGCGATGACACGATGCGTGGTGAGGGTTTGGGTGATGAAATTAATGACAAATGAAGCCATTCCATTATCTGCCTACAAAAACACCCACTCAGTCACTTTGGCACCGTTGAGGGTGCTGATGGTTATGCTTTGATGACAATGCGGATCCTTTGTGAGGCAGACCAAATTTGTAATGTAAGCTTGAACTGTAGAAATGTTGCTTTTTGTGATTAGCCAATCAAGACGCGTCATATGGGTTTTAAAATAGATGCACAATTAACGTTTCATGTTTCATTACGGGGTTTTAAACAGGTTTTTTTTCACGTCTGAATGACTATGATAAACCACAATTGATTCACAAGCGACAAGCTCTAAGATTTCTGCATCTATAGTTCGACTATAGCATTGCTGATAGATGGCAACCTATTTAGTGTATGAAAATTTACAATTACAAAAAACTCATCTACCACTTGAGCAGTTCCACGCCATATGAAGAATCGGAAAAACTCGACCTTCTCTGATTCACATGAAACTAATTCTTTGTTATGGGCAATAATTCACATTTTTTGCTAAAATTCGGCCATTTTGGATGTTGTAAAAATTTAAAATAGCGTCTTTGAAATTTAAAAAGTTTGCATGGAAACGGCACTTTTGATCAAAATAACGTCTGACACAAAGTCAAAAAAAAAATCTTAAATATCTCAAAATGAAAATGTTCAATTTTTAAAATTGTTATGCAAATTTTTGAAATGTTAAAAATTATGAACATTTAAAAATTGTTAAAAATCTAGCTTATGAAACGAAGATTACATACCATGACAACTCCACCCATATCTAGTAACCCTCCTAGGACCAACCACCGACTCAAGCGAATGAAGTCATCCAAACGAGCTGCCTTGAAGATATTTTGTAAACTTCGAACGGATGCATCGAAAAGGAAGTACAACCTCGTTAACAAACAGCACAAGCGGCTCAACAAATAGCTTTATCAAGCCCATCACACCGTTCGAAAAATTCATGTAAATTTCTGCGAGATATAACGCACATAAAATTAACGCTAGATTTGGCATACATTTACGCGATATTTTGTGTAACTTTAAGCGCAATATCGCATTAATTAGCAATATTGTATGCAAGCTTGTGAACGATTTCGCTGTTTATGCCAAGTATAGCTCAAAGTTAAACGAAGGGAGATTTTACGCGATAGTTAAAATTCTGATTTTTTTTTTTCTGGGCAGCGCCATCTACAAACTAAATTCAAAGCAAATCCCAAGAGCTTCTGGAATCATGTGAACGATCAACGGAAGGAATCGGGCTTACCTTCTACAATGTACAATACGCATCAAAAAGAATCAGATGCGGATACGGGAATCGCTGACCTGTTCATGTCACAATTCAGCAGTGTCTTCGTCAAAGAAAATTTACTTAACGAGCACATCGTAGCCGCCGTAAGTGATGTTTCCGTACTTTCTGCTGTTGAGCCGCATCCACCTATCTCAGCTAATGATGTTCGTAGAGCAGGCCTTCGTTTGAAAAATTCTGTCAGCACTGGCCCTGACGGAATCCCTTCTGCGGTTATTAAGAACTGTAATGAAGTGCTGGCCGCACCTTTAGCATCCATCTTCAACTTCTCTTTGGATTCTGGGATCTTTCCCGATTGCTGGAAGGATTCTTTTATTTTCCCTGTCTTCAAAAAAGGCAATAATTTCAGTGAAGATTGGAGATCATTTTTCTCAAGCGTTCGCTGTTTCTTCTGGTGTACCTCAAGGCAGTCATCTGGGACCGTTCATATTTTTATTGTATCTGAATGACGTTCACTTTTCGATCCGTTGCCTGAAGCTGTCTTATGCTGACGATTTCAAACTATACTTTGTCATCAAACATCGAAGTGATGCATTGTTTCTTTAGCAGCAGCTGGACGTTTTTGCTGTTTGGTGTGACAAGAACAGGATGGTATTAAATGCTTCTAAGTGTGCCATTATAACGTTTTCCAAGAAAAATAAGCTTACAGCCTGCAGGAGCAACTATTAAGCCGTGAATCTACCATTAAAGACTTAGACGTCCTACTTTATTCACAACTGACCTTCAAGGACCATGTGGCTTATGTTTCCGGTAAGGCATCTTCTCAACTTGGTGTCACTTTTCGATTCGCCAAAGACTTTAGGGACATTTTCTGTTTTAAAACGCTCTATTGCTCGCTAGTCCGCTCCACATTAGAGTACTGTTCCGTAGTATGGGCTCTGTTAGTTAGTTCGTTTAGGTCAAATTCTTAGTTCTAAATTTGTTTAAATACCATTGCTTAAAAGTAAACTTACCACTAAATACATGCACTTAAAAGTATTTATATTAAAATCCTTTTCGCACCGCCCTATTACCTGTAAAACCTGTAACCTCATATACTCTCACTGACCCGGGATATCACAATAGCCTATCGGTGATAGCAGACCAACACCAGTTTCTCTGGTTCTCTGGATAGTAAATAGGCAGTAATCGAGAGAGTAGCAGACGGTATTAGCCGAGATTGAGATACATAGAGAAGACAGTTGATCTCCACCCGGTCACCGATCTGGACGTACCCACGTTGCTATCGGTCGTACAATATCGTTCTAAATATGAAGTGTGGAAGACTTTTATTCGGTGGAAGAAAGACTCGGTCCGTTTGCCTTCTCTTGGTGCCCACAAGATTGCCGTGTCGGCGGAGTCGCGATTTTCCCGCGAGTGTCCGCGAGTTTCTTCATTTCTCGTATCGAACATGGTCCTTCGAGCCGGATACTGGACCAAAGTGCTAGTCCCGAAGTGACGCTGAGAAAAGTCATTTTGCAGCTGGCCTGTGACCAGTAAATGGAACAATAGTTCGCCGGTAATTGTGAGCAAACAAAGAAGCCCAACGGGCTTTGTGGTCCAGACAATTGAACGCTGTAGAACGGTTGTGAAAGCGCCAAGAACGCACCAGTGAATTGTTCGCCTTGGGCGATTGTGTACTGATTGTGAACAATTGCGGAAAATTGAAAGTTTCGATTGTGGCATTGTGAAAATTCTCCGAACTATCTGGAGAGCGATTTTACTTGCTATGTGCAATAAGTGCCGTGATTAATTACCACCGCGTGGCGAAGAATATTTGATCCTGGTGATTGATCACGTGGCCAACTATTGGCGAAGACCTAACTGCGGTGAAAAGGGCTAACGAGCCGAAGATAATAGCTGTTGATCGAGCCAGCGATAGCAGAGTCATCAGTTGGTGTAAACCGGCGAAAACTCTGCACATCGTCGCAAGGAAGCCCCAAGTAATGCCGTCGGCATTTCGATAGTATTTTCATCGCTCTCAAAAACCAGGGGGTTCGTTCCTTTTGTATTCCGTTGATATTTTGTGGCGTGTCGGTGTCGATTGGTGGTCACTTGAGGTATGGCCATGTCGGAAGAAGCAATGGAGACCAAGAGGTTGGAGTACGATGTCCGAGGAAACTACCTCATCTCTTCGGTGGCTGCGAAACTTTTCTCGAATCGTACGATGCTAATTTGCATGCGGGTCAGGTACAGGTCAGGTTGGAAAAATTGGAGTGCTTCTACAATCAGTACGTTGAGGTGATCATTCAGCCCCAGCTACTGCCGTCCTCGGAACCAGCAGTCGAGTACGAGACGCAGCTGTTCAGGCTTGAAGCTCAGTACTACGAGCTGAAGGCGCAGTTGGCTCGTTTGTTGGAACGGAAGCCGCTTAATGTTCCGTCGACGTCTCGTAGAAATACTCCCCTCACCAACCATATCAAGTACCCCGAATTGAAGCTTCCAGAATTTTCAGGAAATCCTCTCGGATGGCGTTCATTTCACGATTTGTACAACGCTGCTGTTCATTCGTCTGGCGAATTGAGTTCTTCGGAGAAATTCCAGTACCTGAAGAGTATACTACGAGGTGAAGCAGCGGGTCTAATTGAGGAAATTCCCATCAGTGACGAAAATTACGCTGAAGCCTGGAAGCGTTTAGTCAACCGGTACGACAACAAGCGGATACTGGTAAAATGCCATCTCGCGGAGCTCTTCGACACTCCTCCGATGAAGCAAGAATCGGCAGAGGGACTGCTGAACCTTGTCGACCGCTTCGATCGAAACATTGCCATCCTCAAAAAGCTTGGGGAACCAACGGACACCTGGAGTACGATTCTCGTCTATCAGCTCAGCCTCCGCTTAGACCAAAACACACTCCGTGAATGGGAAAACCATATTGGAAGGAAGGGCCGCAGAACAACCAGATGCCAAAATATTCGAATATGATAATATTTCTGCAAGGTCATGCTCGCGTTCTTCAAGCTCTCGCACCCAATCTGGGTCGTTCCCGTGAAGTCAAGGTAAAGCCTTTACCGAAGCATTCAACGCTGCATGTTACTCAATCGTCGTCTGGGGAAACAACAGGCGGTCGCAAGTGTTTGCAGTGCGGAAGCGATCATTTTCTGTACCAGTGCTTCAAGTTTCGCAAACTATCCAACTAACGTCCAATACCAACAGCGGTCAACAATCTTCGCCTGCCTCCACCTGTCCGCTTTGAACCATCCTACACCTGACCCTAGTGGATCAAACTCTACCGCAACTCTTGTGTCCGTCCATCAGTCTGCATTAGTACCAGTCGCACCCCTGTCCACTTCGTCTCAACCACAATCGAACCCACCTGCGGCGCTGGTGGCACACTCGGCGAAGCTTCCCAACGAAACAGTTCTACTAAATATGCACGGCGCTGGTCAACTTTGAGGACAACTGTGGAGCTCGGGTCGTTGCTAGGGTTCTCTTGGATAGCTGTTTGCAATTCAATTTGATGACAGAGTCCCTTCATCAACGTCTAAATTTACAAGTTAAATTGACCGTCATCTCATTTCGAGCATAGATACGGTTATGATGGTCATTCTCCTTCCAAAATCACGGATGAGGTGATAGCTGTGATGTTTCAAGGAAAAAGTTTTATCCTGCGTATTATAACCAGTAATTATTATTGTGTGAATTCATATCTGCACGAACACGTACTACCTGTAGTCACGAATGCTTATTCATGGATAGAGATTTTGCAACTATTCATTTTTTCGGATACCATGACGCTTGAGCTCCAAGAATAAAGATTCTGACCGCATATTGTATCCACATTACCGAAGCCCAAGTATCAAGGGATCCGTAAAAAGCAAAACCAATAACAAATCCTTGCGTAAATAAGAATCCCCCTCTAAATATTGAAATTGTGGCTAGCAATCAAAGCAACCATTGGTATCCATCAAATTTACGATGGAAAATTGGGCCGAAGGTCATTTCACCGAACGCCATTTCTCCCAAAAGCCTTTGTGTTGCTGAGTTTAGGGGAGGGGGTGACTATCCCCTTCTGGCTACGCCTATGAAACACAATGTATTTCAATAAATCTTCGCTAAAATTAATAGTGAATTCGTTTATTATTCAGTTCCAACCTGGATCGGGTATCAAGATCGGATCTGCTTGTTTTCTGACAAACGTCAGTTTGATCGTTTGCTTTTAAAACCCAGGTCAGGTTGAGGTTTGCACTGACAAAAAGTTCCACCTGCTGGTTCCATGATGGTCCTTGTAATTTTTCGGAGCAATTCAAAAATTTAAGATTTTTCGCTTCACTTTCGCACGAAACGTAATAACGTTGAAAAGATTTTTTGTTTATTAAGCATCGTACACAATGACGCGTACGGCGTACGTAAAAGAGAATTGATACTGCCTATATAGTGGCTTTAATTTGCAAGTTAAGAAATGGAATTTTTGAAGATAAGCGGATATTTTTCTACATTGTAACGCAACAGCACCCACATTTCAACGTTTTCTTCAAAATGTTTCGTATGTTCTGAACTTCGCATCTTTCAGCAAGAACAGGAAAATGAGGGAGCATTGTTCTCACTTCCCACTTTTAAATGCCCAACAGAGATGATCAGTGAGTGATTGATTTTGCTACTCTCTCCTTGTCATTTAATTTAACTTTCATGGATGGCTCCCTTAGCTCAGTTGGTAAAGGCGCAGCTACAAAGCAAGACCTTGCTGGAGGTGGCTGGGTTCGATTCCCGTTCCGGTTTAAGAATTTTTCGGGTTGGAAATTTTCTCGACTTCCCTGGGCATAGAAGTATGATTGGACTTGCCACACAATTATACCAATGCAAAAATGGTATAGGCATCGAAAGCTCTCAATTAATAACTGTGGAAGTGCATCTAGTAGAACACTAAGTTGAGAGCACGCAATAAGCTAATATGCGATATGCAATAAGCTTGAAATGCGAAGAAGAAGAAGAAGAAGGATGGCTTTTATGAAGACGGTCTAGTGAGGTAGAAGTTTTCCCAAGTGATATGCTAATTGACCGTCATTTTTGAGATGTGACGGTTATGCGAGGATGACCGTCAAGGTACAATAACCGTTATGATAAGCACTGGTTTCAAGGCGCTCTACTTCGAAGTAGGAATCACAGATTTAACATGAATTTATTTTTTTATTAATCCAACATTCTTCTGTCATGATTAAAAGAGTTTACTTTACTGTCCCTACTTTACTCTCTATAATCATTTGGCCAATCCAGCATAGGATTCGCATGAATGACTGCACTGCCAAAGTCTTGACCCACAACATACAGCAATATTGTCATTAATTATTCATGCTCATTCAAGACATTCCTGGTAGGGTTGAACGAAGGTTAGAATACATGCGTTCCTTAATTTTTTTGTTTTTGCAGTATCTGCATTTAATTATTCACAAAATCGTTTTTACTTTGTTACAACACAACAGCTATGAAGCACTTTCAGTTAGGAACCTTCGAAAAAATAAGCAACATTCTAAAGTGTAAAAGGGTTCACCTGACGATTTAACCGCATATAAACTTCTTACTTGGGGATCAACTCCGGAAGCATGAAAAAGGTATATATTTGTAAACATTCTCTCAAGCGTAGCCTGTGCCGTAAATTGATTACGGACATCTTTCAGGAACCCACGTATAATGTGGGTTACCGAGGTTGTTTTTGTTTTCATCTCCATGATCGGATTTTTACTTCTTTCAGTTTGGAAAGGATTGGCCATGAATTTTTAAAACGAAGTAATGTTACTACTTTATGACGAACGCTTCGTAAACTCGTTTTTTTTGTTCGTCCAAAAGCATACACTCAAGCTCTTCAAATGTACGCCCACTGAAACTGTGGAATAATTAATTAAGTTCAGACCACGAAGCCGCTTCACCACGCTTTCCCCGGAATACTCTTATCAGACAGTGTCTTCCCTCTCCCGTGACGCCTTTTTTCATGGTTGACCTGAACGCCGTACTACACTTTCTGCATGTTAATGAACCTTGGAAAAACGCTCCGTACACACTTTTCTCCGTATCACTCTCTCAGGTAGAGACTATATAATTACATTACCCCTTCCTTCCGCATGCCCCGTTTACCCACTTCATCCTCTGTCAGATCTTCTTATCAGAATAATTAAAATGGCACCCGATCCTGCAGCAACCGGTCGTGGCCTGACTCACAAGCGCCGGTTCATTACGCTGCAAATATTTCCCGACCGATCTACGGACGACGACGCGCTGCGATTAGAAAAGTTTCCGACATCCCGCAGGCCATTAAAGACTCCTTCCAATCACACTGACTGCTGCTGCTGCACTTGGGAGTCTATTAAAGACACGCGCGTAATGGAGAACCTCTCCTCCGCCAAACACCGGGCCATACCAAATCACCCGCAGAGGCCGAGTTCAACTCATTAAAAGCAAAGTTCGACCGTGGGAACCGAAAATTGCTCCCAAATCTATAATTTAAAGTGTTTTATGAGTTTTCCGGCTTCCGCTTCGTGCGTCAAGGAAGGAACCGTGCGAAAACCCATAAAAAAGTATGCACCACGACGGACGGTTCCGGTGGAAAGTGGAACGTTTTTCTTCTCAATTTGTGCCTTCGGCTTCCGCTTTGTTTCGATTCTTCTGCACTGTCAGCGTCTAAGGGGTGTCACTATATGGCTATAGGACGGTGTTCGGAACACCAGCAGGTGCAGCTCAATTTTCCGGTAATCACAGGTCGTCACAGTTGGCGGTTTCACCATGTGGCCACACCAAGGTGAATCAAGGAAACAATCGAGACTAAATTATCCTTGTTTTTAGGCTGGGGTCAGGAAAGGCAGGATGCAATCATTCTTCCGTCCTGAATGGCTCAACTTTGCCGGTGCCGCTAGACTACAGAAGTGTACGTTAACTTTCTCGACACTTGCTCGTGTCACACGAACAATGATGATGGACGCTTCGAATGAAGTGGAAGGCAATAAAAATGAAATAAGTCGCCATAGAGGTGACATTCACAAGTATCAATCATAGCGGAGGGTTACGGTTCAGCACGGTGGCAAAGGTGAAAAAGTCCATCGTCATAAGTGGCCCTTGCGGGCAGTCACTCTTACACACACGTCATGACTTTTCCTCCCCGGAGCTTGACCGTGACAGGTTGAATGAATTACCATCACTTGGTGGTGTGATGGGGATTGAACTGGATTAATTTCTTCACATTTTATTAACAAACCAACATTACAAAAAACGATAATTGCTGTGTGTGTGTGTGTGTGTGTGTGTTTGTGTGTGTGTGTGTGTGTGTGTTGTGTGTGTGTGTGTGTGTGTGTGTGTGTGTGTGTGTGTGTGTGTGTGTGTGTGTGTGTGTGTGTGTGTGTGTGTGTGTGTGTGTGTGTGTGTGTGTGTGTGTGTGTGTGTGTGTGTGTGTGTGTGTGTGTGTGTGTGTGTGTGTGTGTGTGTGTGTGTGTGTGTGTGTGTGCGTGTGTGTGTGTGTGTGTGTGTGTGTGTGTGTGTGTGTGTGTTTGTGTGTTTGTGTGTTTGTGTGTGTGTGTGTGTGTGTGTGCGTGTGTGTGTCTGTGTGTGTGTGTGTGTGTGTGTGTGTGTGTGTGTTGTGTGTGTGTGTGTGTGTGTGTGTGTGTGTGTGTGTGCGTGTGTGTGTGTGTGTGTGTGCGTGTGTGTGTGTGTGTGTGTGTGTGTGTGTGTGTGCGTGTGTGTGTGTGTGTGTGTGTGTGTGTGTGTGTGTGTGTGTGTGTGTGTGTGTGTGTGTGTGTGTGTGTGTGTGTGTGTGTGTGTGTGTGTGTGTGTGTGTGTGTGTGTGGTGTGTGTGTGTGTGTGTGTGTGTGTGTGTGTGTGTGC